ACACGCCTCCGTATTTTTCAACAAAAAAAAAGCAGAAAAAAACAACAACGTCAACAACGACTGTCAGACAAAAAAAATCCCCAACAACTTAAAAGAGAAAAAAGACCAACCGACGAAAACTTGAACAGTTCAAATTTATACAGCGGACATCTGCATAAACACTTTCAATTAGCTAGTTTTGCTGACATGTTTTACTAGCATAGCACCGAGCTCACTGCCTGCATGGTCTGCGCCCGATCGTTCATGCCCTCTTTGAGCACAACGACAGCTTTGTTAGCTGTAGGATATTATGGAAATCACAGGCGATCGCCACCACCACCAAGATCGAGGACGTAGTAAACAAAAGACCCTGCCAGCTCTGCTTGTGCAAGCCCACCCCGTTGCCAGAAATCGACGTAACTAACAATCTTCTAACTTCGCATGAGATACAACAAATACATAATACATGTAGTATAACTGTGACTCCTTGAAAATGATGTGTTAGAAACCATATTATGCAGCACGATTACAATAAATCACAGAGTCTGAATTTTTTATCGGTGAAGAGTTTGTCATTTTAGCAAGTTTGGTCATACTTTTTCAGGAGTCAAAATTGTTTCATGCTGTACAGACCCCATAAACGATGACGTCATGGTGGCAATATATAACGCTATGTTCGGTAATCTTTGCGCTTTCTTCTTCTATTCTAAGGACCGTTGTTTATGGCTGGGTAATTAATCCCTTCTTACAGAGACTTTGTGAGTGAAAATAAACGAACAAAACGCCCAGCCAGTGCGGCCAGGGGCGGCGTTAGTACAGTAGGTATCATGCTGGAATGTACTGCAGATGTCGCTGGTTTGAATACCATCGGATCGTTTGGAACTGTAGTTGCTATGAGGTGTTTTTTGTGGGTAGTTGGCGGGTGCTCTGGTGTGGTTTGCTTTTTCTTTCCTATCAAACATCTATCGTCCTTATCTCTCCTCCTTTTTATGTGTATGTTACTCTCTTGTAAAACATCTATTCTTCTGCACTGATATGACCTTATTGTGTTGCAAGTGCCGTAAAACTCTTACGAAATTAAACATGAGGTGTTTTTAAAACTCACCGCCCGTTTGGCTTGACCCTATCGGAGATGTACGTTCA